GAAGCAGACTTGTACGCTGGTATTAAACAGATTTGAAGTCATACACTTCTCAGAGTTGTGCAATGCAGAATCCCTGCTCTGCAGTCTGTTTTAGGTCTTCTTTTTCTCTCTGTGCTTCTGTACTTTTTAACAACGGGCCCATTACTTACTGTGCTATTTTGTGCGACGTGATGCCCTGGGGGAAGGTAAGGGTCACTTCTCCATCACTTAACACCTAGCCACTTTTTGGAGCAGAATGCAGTCTCACCACTTTACGCATCAAGAGATGAAAAATAACTTTTCTAGTAGATATTGGAAGGAGGATGGTAAAGGGCAGAATGCAGTTACCTCAGCTGCAGTGCAGGCATGGTGCAGACCAGCTCCTGCAAAAAACCACAGTGGGATGTTTAATGCCAATGAGTGGTCCAACACCAGCACAAGCCATTCCTTGGCTGTAGCTTGACTGCAGGCTGGTCTGAGATCACATCCCACCAAACTCTGTCACATTTCTGCTAGCAAGATGTGTCTTCCCGTTGGTGTTTGATGACAGTCCATGGCAGGATTATAAAGAGCTGTTGCACCCAAAGGCAAAGAAATGCTACAGGTCCTAGATTGCTGCAAATCACATTTCGGCTTGTGAAACCCGTATCATTCAAAGGCTTCAACTGGATTAGTTATTTTTAAACCCCACAGAAGGAGTGTTAAAAATGTGCTTTTTCATGCAAGCAGCCTTAAAAAAAATCTGTGCTTTATGTTCTGAGGTGCTTTCTCATAATTCCCCATCCCTTTGCTGCCTACACCCCGACAGTGTATGAAAATGAATTTGGAGACAACACAAAGTGCTGTTTCTGCAGCTTGCTTTTTGTAAATCTGAGGATTTTGCTTTTCTCCTTTGCAGAAGCTCCAGTAAGCATTTAAGATTTTGGTATCTGACCATTGCTGGAATGGTGATGGAATAATCTGAAAGAGAATTACAGCTATTGTACATGCTGGTTTTGCCCTTGTACAGAGCCACTGTACACTACTTATTGATAAGATTATTTATTAATTGCTGGCAGTGGAGAGCCAAATGGATGTTCTCGATTTTTAAGGTAAAATCTTGAAAGGATAACTCTTGCTATTACATGAACTGACTGGATCTTTTATACAGGCTGGACAAATCTTATCAGCTATTACAGCTTTTAGAAAGCATTGCTGTCCTATTTGTTAATGGGTCTGGCTGAAATCCAAAGCTTAGGGCTTTAGCCCCATGCTGAGAGCTGCTGACACTTTGCCTGCGGGCAGGTCCTGTGGCCAGCCAAGATCCCCTTCCTGGCTCTTATGGGATACACTTAACTGAGCACATACGGGTGCTGCTGCCAGCCAGAGGATTGTGTAGTCCAAGACCATCAGGGCAGTGAGAACAAACCCACGAGCAGCCACATCCCCTTACTCGCTTCCTAACCTGAATACAAACGAATTTAAAGCAGATGAGGTGGCTCTGACGTTCTGCACGGAACCCAATCCATGGCTCCTGCTAAGAGAAAACCTCCCAGAACAGGAGGCGTTTTGTCTGAGCCCAGGAAGGGCATGAGCTTCTGCTCCTCACATTTGTCACCATCTAGTTTGCTCCACATCTCCCTTTCTGCCCTCAAACCAAGCTGCTGGGTCCTACTTAGCAGCCAGGTCTCCTTTCCCCATGAGGAGGTCTCTGCCCCTGCAGCAGCTCCCCTGGAGTACTGAGAGGAAGGGCTGGCTCTGTCCCCACGTCCTGCTCCAGCCAGGCACCTCTGCCACGGCCCGGCTGGCCCAGGGGCCGGGCTCCGGGGCCATGAGCACACACACAGCCTCTGTCCCCTCGGCCGAACCCGCTGGCCCAGCTTCAGAGGGCTTTTCCTCCCCCTTGTCACAGCAGCTGAAATTCCAGCTAAACAAAACCCAGCCACAGACTTATTCAAAACATTTATTAGTGTTTAAGGAAAATAACAGTGTGAAAGGTACAGAGCTTTGTCTAAAGCCATATGCATTTTTTTTTTAACAAGCTTATTTGGCTGCAAATTCTACACGAGATAAAACTAGTATGTTTTTCTCCCAGAGATTTGGAATTAAGGACAGTTGTTTGGTTTTGTGTTTTTTTTTTTTTTTTTTTTTTTCCTTTTAGTTCAGCACTTTTAAGTTAGGACAGCATTTTCCAGGGTTTACTGCTATCTTTTTCTGGTAGGCATTTTGCTTCTCCCAGTATTTTCATTCCAGAACAAGGCTCATTCCAGACGCAAAGCATAAAGGAAACATTCAAACCTTGGCTTTTAAGCTAAACCTCCTTCATGAACAACAAGTTCATAAGGAATGTTAATTAAAGCATCATACAGTATCTAAATGGACTTTTTTTTTCTTTTTTATAAAGAATTAAGGCTATGTAGATGGCACAAAAAAATAATTTCAGGTAAAATGCACCCTATTTGTTAGATATGAAAGAAGGTTTAACAATAAATAAATGATTTATGCTGTCAATAACATTATGGAACTGTATAAAACTATATTTACGCAGCTTTAAACATAAAAAAACATACTAGTGGCATGAATATATACAACACAGGTCATGACAAACGTTTAAATTATCATAGCCAGCAGTGTTCTTTTTTAAATGGAGACACTATAATAAATAGAAATGATAAATATTTACAATAATAGCATATGTGGAATCAGTAGATGAACACATAAAATCTTCACACACAGAGGAAAAAAAAAATTATGCCTTATACAAAAATCGCACCCACAGCTTGCCCACCCTCCCTCCCCAATTTTTGTTGGCTAAACAAGGGGAATGTACTATTTCCCCCACAGAACAAGTGAATACAAATAAAACTGTATGCATGCTGAGGTGATATGTTGACTGAGACATTCAAGGATGTAGGTCTCTATGTTTGGTTTCCATTGATGAATCAGACCTCTAATGAGACAGTGATCTTACTTTAGTTCAACGCAAGAATATTACGTTGGTAGCAAGTTGTTGTTTCTGTTTTGCCTTTTTTTTTTTTGCTTTTTTTTTTTGCTTTTTTTCTAAAATGGTTGGATTGTCTTTTTGGTTTGAGCTTGTTCTTCATGGTGGCCATGTGCCACCAAGGGGGAGAGGACGCTCACAGGAAACCCATGGAGGCACGCTAGAAACCTTCTTATGGTACTACCAGCAGCCACTTAGTTTTTGGAGCAGAGGAGCAGGCCATCAGAAGCAGGCCTGAACCAGCCTTGGCAAGCTCCTCTGAGGGACAGCTTGGGTGCCCCCTTCATGGGACAGCTGTACTACAACCCAGTGGGGCAGGTGGCACTCTCACTGCCACAAGCTCCACTCCTCAGGTCAGCATGGTCTTCGCTGCTACAGTACGTGACCTGATCCTACCTTTTCCCAATTAAGCTGAATGAAAATTTTGTCACAGAACTTAGCCAATGTCAGGCAGGATCAAGGTCAAGTCTTTAAACACAACCTGGTGAACACATAGACACACACCTTTTCAACGTAACGGTCCTCTCTTGCTTCCTACGTGGCTTCTATTAAAAGCAACGCCTGTAACTTCTGCGGGTGGAGACGTGCATTAAACCCTGAACACAGCTATTAGGAGCTGTGTTCACTTAGCAGTAACTAAAATCTGAGTTGGAAATTGTAGCCAAATTCCAACACCCTCTACTGTTTATACAGTTCCTTCCCACCATGCGACAAGACGTACGTTAGTTCACTGGGTACGTTCTGTCTCTGCTTAACTGCCTTCCTGCCCCCACAGCTTTCCTTCCAAACTTTCTAAAGGAGAAGGCTCATATCCCAGGTGTGATTCCCACTTTCTAAGAACACTTGCGTTTTCTGTGGAGGAAGCCAAGGACCTCACCCTTCTGTCCCTGTGGATGCTGTAACCTCCATTTCCAGTACAATATCTGGGGATATAGGATTGCAGATCTGCAACCTGAGAATTACAATTGCATAGGGGGTAGGAGAGATGTGTCCGAACACCTCACTCACACTTAAAACTGCTTAAAGACAATAAGCTCTTGACACTCTTCATCTTTAGAAACTCATGCTGCAGAGACTGGTGGTCATAATCCGCACAACAATTAAAAAAGCCAAGTCAACCCCCTCTCCTTATCTTTGGCATAAAGATAAACCACAGCTGATAGGCAGGTTAGAGTGGGGCTCCACATCCCAGCAAATTGCACCATGGTACTGCTAAGGAGAGACAGATTTCTGATGGGCCTTCAACACAGCCCTACAGAAAAACTTAAGTATATGGGGTCCTTCACTTGCCTGAGCCTATGCCCGTCCTTAAACCTTGGATTGTCCATAGGGACGGAGAACCTGTATCACTGAGCGGGCAGGTGTAAGCAGAGAAAATGCAAGGGGCTTTTTAGAGGTCCATGAGCATATTCTTGGGGTCCTCCATCCTGTGCAAGTCGTAACAGTCACATTGCCCTGCCTGGAAGCTGGCTACTCGCCTTTACTATGCTGAAGTGACTGGGTTAGCAAGGGTCAAGTTATGCAGTGGTTAAAAAACAAACAGGGGGCACAAACTAGGCAGCATCACCCAGATGAGAACAATGGCTCAGAAGTTAGTTAAGGGAAAGCAGTGGAGCTCCAGACCGCAGGGTTCCTGTGCAAGAGACGGGGTAGCTGTTTCATTAGAGTGTCACACAGAGAGCCTTGAGCTCTTGCATTCTCAGCCACAGGCAGAAACCAAATCCCCCTGGAATTCAGCCATCTGCTGTAAGGCTGTGCCCTGAACCTTCAGAGGTGCTAAGCCACAAGCAGCCGCATGCAATCTGGCAGAGCCCTCTTGGAGCCTTCCCCCCAGCCAAGGGGAACATGAAAAAAACCAAACCAACCCCCAAAACAACGCAACAAACCCCAAACAAGATACTAAATTTCAGCTGATGTCCATTTCATAAAAAAGGGGAAAAGAATTTAGTTGGAGACATTTTGCCACACTTGGTGGCTGCTCAAGTGTCAAGTTTGCTCAATCAGTAACTCATTGCCACTGCTCTCCCTTTGCTACTACACACACTGTTGCTGAGGTCCACATATGTCTTGCAATGCCCTGTGCTTGACCTCTGAATGGGAAATGCTTTGGAATGTCCATAGAGGGGAAGATGGGACTCAACGGAGGAGCTTTCCAGTGGAGGGGGAGGATGGGGGAAAGAGGGGGCTGGTGCCTTTTTTCACCTCCGGATGTCAGAGTGGTCGGGCAGTTCATCTGCCCGGTCCATGAGCCCATGTGCCCCTTTGGGACCGTGGCCCCCAGCTTTCACCCGAGCATGGGCGTTCAGGTGGCCTTTAGTACCTCTCTCTCCCTTAGATGCTCGTGCACTCTCCCTGTGGTCGGAGTCAGAGTGGACCAGCATGTCCCCACGGCCAGCAGCAGCTTTGCTGCCTTCGCCTGGCTTCTTCTCAGGACCCAAGATGGCATCACCATGCCCAGCTGAGGTGCAGAAGCTCAGGATGGAGCAGAGACTTCCCCAGTTCTGTTCGCACTGGGCCTGGACGCTTCTTGTTATTGCCTTTTTCACCTCCTCGCCACAGGTGAGCAGGATGTTCACTAGGTCAACGTATGGCCTAGAGGTAAAGGAAACAGTGAGAGGAGAGTCAAAAAATAGATATATGGGTTTTCTATCGGTACACAAGTGCAACAGCCTCTCTGCCTTCCCCTCCCTTGTGCACAGCACAGTTCAGTAGCCATTAGCCCCTGCTACCCACTCGGCCCCCTTGTAGAGCAGTTCTGCAGCATATGTTTATTATGCAATGCATTATATTCTGTTCAACCAGATTGCTGTAGGAAATGTGCAGGATGGCATGCTGTGAAACAAAGCTTCACTCAAGTGAAGCTGGATTTGCCTTGCTTGATCCCACACGAGGTGCTCTGGGAGAACTGTGTTGTCCACCAGAAGAAGATAGGAGGTCTACACGCTTGCCAGATGGGACTGTCAAATTAAAGAACTACTATCTCACACCTTGTGCCTCCACCTCTTTCCACACTCGATTTCATCTTTGTTAGTCAGGATACATGACAAAGGAAACCTCCTCATGTCCAGACACATGAACTTCATCAAACAGCTTGCTATCTCCAGATGATAGGCTGCAAGAGTGAGGCATTTCCTCACCTCTGCAAAGAGCAACAGATACTCAGCTAGAGGTTCTCTGGCTTTTCTCATTACCTTTAGCTCTCCCCGAAGCACCAGGTGTGGATCTCCACCACAAACCAGATCCTAGCTGAACTCAGGATCCAACTGCACAGAGCTCAGACACATGGAACTCCACTTTGGTGGCAATGTTTCTTCCCACACCATTTTTTTTTCTTTCTTTCCTTACAGGGTTGAGTACAGCTTTCAGCCTTTTCCCAGCCAAACAAGGACTCCAAACAAGCCACAGCCAAATACCATTTCTGTTTCCCACCCGTTCCTCTGTGCCCCCCCCCCCGCCCCAGCACAAGGCAGCCCGAGGACAGGCACTTCAGCCTCCTCAGCCACGGGTCACCGAGTGCAGCAATTTTAAAATAGTTGTGGTCACAAGTTTTGTGGGTCAATACTGATGTTGTCTATTGACACAACCACTCAGCTGCTAGCAGGTCCAGAAGGACATGCTTAGAAGTCTTCACAGTGGGAACTATCTACAGTGCAAGTGGAGAACTGCCTGGGGTCAGTAGTGGTGGGGTGTGGGGGGATGCACCTTCCGGACACACCTGTCAGCACTAGTGGCTGTGGACAAGTCTAAATCTCTGCCCATAAACGAAATCAGGGAAAAAACAAGGGAAATCAGCAAATTACTATCAGTGTCTGACAGTACCCTAACTTTACTTTGCCTAACTGCTTAAACTCATTTTGAATGACTAATCTTGGAAAGCCACCTATTCCCCTATCTCAAAATATTTCCCATGTTTGGATTGTTTCTGCCTGTTTAAAAAAAGTTACTTGGAATGCAGCAGCGACTGATCTGCCAGAGCCTGTCACCACTTCCACCATAGCAAATCAGCCTGACCCCCACCCCACCGCAGCTGACTCAGGAGACCTCACCACCCTGATCATGTTCCTCAACTCTCACTGGGAGAAAACAGAATAGAATAGTCAGAGAACAAGTCCGAGAGCTGCCACTTGTTCCTCTGCTCTTAGTTTTTGTTTTAAACAAAATACAGGATGAGAAAAAACCAAGCACATCACATACAAAATGATCCAGCAGACGAATAATATAAAAAGAAGAAAAATCAGTTGTTGAAATTGGGTATAACCTTAACAAAAATCTTTGTAAGAAAAAGGTTGATGGTATGACTAAAGAGTGGCTCAGCTGCCAAGTATTTCAGGTATTCAGAGTCTGCCAGAGCCCTGCGGATTAATACTAGCCCATTTCTCCTTCACTGTTTTACTTTCTGCATTTCAGCTGGCCTGGCCATAGTACCTGAACCGAGCACAAGGCTGCAAGTCAGCAGATGTCGTTTTATTTCCAGCTCTGCCACACTTGCCTATTGATCTTGAACAAGATCCTTAGTTCAAGAGCTTCATAGATGGCCTCTAAATTTAGGGGAGAGGAGGAGGCTGGCTGGCTTCTATTCGGGGAGTCCCACACTGGAAACCTAAGCTCCAACTTCGTGAGATGCTGAAGTGTAGAAAGCTCTAAATGAAATTGTGCAAATTATAGGTGTTCAGCTCAATGACCTGTGTCATCTCAAACCAAGAACCCCCCAGTTAAGCTCCTTGGAAATGAGCAGCTGCCTTTGAGCATTCTTGCTTTAGCTTGTTCATAAAATAAGGCTAACTTACTCCTCTCTGGACAGGCTTTTGGCTCGCACAGTTCTTCCCATCCCCAAATGATGGAGGAGTGTTAATTGGTGCCAAGTACCCAATTTAGAGCCTACTAACACAGCCTGAGCAGTGCCCACAGAGAGGTGCTGCTGTGCAGGATGGAGCCCTGACTCCCCTCTCCTCCAGGCAGTGGGACACTGCCCTTCACCCTGGGCACAGCAGCAGCCCTGGCAAGGCCATGCTCTGCTACCAGCCACACCTTTGATCCCAGCCTTAAGGAAGTCCACGGAAAGGGCCTTGCTTTCAGGCCACCATGTTCAGCTTGTACAAACCACAGCAAACAATTCTGGATTTAAGAGTAAACTGGCACTGACGTGTCACTCTGCAACTGCAGCTTAAGTATTAGGGGGGTGGTTTCCAACTGAAAGTAAGGGAATCAGAGCACAGCTCCTTTGCATACCAGTGCATATGCAAGGCTAAAAGTCCAAAAGAAATGATTCTACAAAAAAAATATATATCTGTCATCATCACTGGGATGTGGAGTTTCTGTGTGAATATCTGCAAGGGATACAAAGGCATAGAAGCGTGGCAGGAAGATGGTCTACGGTTAAGCCTGTTGCCAGGCTGTGGCTCAGCCTTCTTGTTTGGGAGTGAGATGTTCCACCTGCAAGAAAAACAGGCTCTGATTTTTGCATTTGAGCACAAAGAGTTGTTACAACAGCTTGTGCCTAGTTTGTTCCTGTCATGTAGCAGCTTTGATCAATTCCAAATAGGATTCATGCTTGCCATTCCTCAGAGGGCAACTGTGTTCCCAGTCAGAGGGATGAACTTCTCAAAATTTGACTTGTGCCTTGATTTGTACAGCTCCATGTTTTATTAAAAAGCATCTGAGATTAATAAAGAGTAAGATGAATGGGAGATTACCTGTGGGACTGCAGATCTTTCAGGGACAACTAACTACAAGGCATTTGAAAGTATATATTTAAAGAAGAAATTACCAACTTCCTGACAACTTTACATAGGCCTTCTTCCCCCTTCTCCTCTAGCTGTCACCTTCAACAAGATACTGGGGTCAGGAATGGTGACTTTCGAGTTGGGAAACAGAGAGACATTGTGAGATGCCTCTGGAAACAGCACAGGCCAACACCATCTGCCAAAGGTCCAAAGGGAACCAGATCCAACCCATTTCATCTCTTTCCACAGCCACATCTAGGCCTTTGTAAACAAACTTGTCTTCAACAGCCCCTGTGAAGAAAGCACTACCTGGGTCTGGTACATGAGAAAACAAGATGTGCTTAAGGCCAGAAGGAGGCAGAACTGCTCTTGGGCAGATGCACAGCCCACTGGCACCATCCTGCTCCTGGAAGGAGCTCCCACGCCCCGACTGCACTAACACAGAGGCACTTACTCATGCTGCAGCAGGTCTTTGAAGTGAATCATCTCCACAATGACCTGGATGTTCTCCTTCGCAGCAGAGCAGAGGTCATGCTTCAGGTAGCACTCCCGCTGTAACTGGAACACCATCTCTTTAATGGCAGGGCACTTACGGCTGATGCAGCTGAATTTATGCCTCAAGGCATGAGCCTTACACTTCAGAGCGTCTTTAATGAAGGATTTTCCCTGAGAAGAAAAGAAATGGAGTAGGTCTGTATTTTTGTCCATTAAGCACAGCAGGTGATTTATGCCCAGCTAGCTGCTCCTCTGTAGGACAAAGTCAAGGGTTATTAGACTGCTAAAGGTATAACTTAATGGCTTTCCCCCTTCTCCTCTTTGCTTCTCTGCCCTTAAAGAGTATGCCAAATTACCCAGCTTTGCTATCCCAGTGGAGCTGAACACACAGGGCTTCCTCACTGGTATTTTGAGGTTTCTTCTGCCCCAACAGCTGAATGCCCAACAAGGGAAAGGGCAAAATTAAGCGCCTTGAAGTAATTAAATGCTTGAGTTACTGGCTTCATTCACTTCTGGGCTGGCAGCGCAGCAGCTTCACATAAAGATGAGGGCATCCTGCCATGGCTGAGGTCCTAAGGACCATAAGCAGATACCCATTCGGTAACATCAAATTAGTTTTTTTAATTTTAGAGTAACTTTGCAAACTCATAGACATGTATGCACCATCTATATGCACCTGCCCCATTCCTTAGCTGCCAGTATTTTCTGTACTATCACTTCCTCAGAGAGGGATGCAAACCAATGCTAATAACAGTAATAATCCTATAGTGTCTTGATGTCTGTTTGCTGCAAGAAATTTTAAGTGAGATTAAAAAAATCAGATCAAGAAACTAGAAAGGTTGCACGAAAGCTGCTTTAGCAGCATCTCTTTAACCATTGTTTGTGATTCCTTTGTCCAATTGCTTAGTGGACGTCAGAACCATCCCTTTTTCTCTTTGCTATCTGATACTACAGCTGCCATCCACACTGCATGTGTTGCAGTCTGACAGCTCTGCTCAGAATCCCTTTACTTTGCTGAGCAATAGGTGTGTGGAAGCCTCCTGCTCTTCCCCCATCTCTTCATTACCTTCAGATTATTTTACACAGATGCTTCACAAAGACCAAATTCTTCTTATCCTTTATCCAGAGAGTACACTGGCACAGCTCCACTGACATTTAACTAAGATTCACCCAGACCAGCAAGTAGATGTTGTCTCCAAGTTGTTTCAAGCCTGAAATGTTTCTTGCTGATCAAAGAACTGCTTCAGTCATCATCCCTTTCTATTCCCCATACCAAAGGCACTAACTTGCTCTTCCTTCAGTAACAAACACACATGGCACAGTAGTCAAATAAGGATAAAAAAGACAATTCTTATATAAACCAAACCTGACATCAATTCTCAGGTTACAGAGACAGGGAAGGAAAGCAGAAAGCAGAGAATGGAAAACGGCCAACATTAATCTTGTCATTTAATGCAGCCTGAAATAACTGTAGATAGTACAGAGATGAGTCGTGAAAAGACGTGTCATAGCAGAGGTTAAAGTCATCTCTACATTAAATAGAGCTCCAGGGGTTTAATACTTCTGCACTGCAATGGAGATAGCTTGGATATGAAACAGGCTGTATTTGATCAGCAATATCTGGGGATACAGAGGAATAGGCATCAATGGCTACGCTCAACCTTCGTAGGCACATCCCAACTGAGCTTATTTCTTTGGTTGTCTGTATTCACTGACAGAATATTGTGCAAAAATAAATTACCTTTTTCTGGGAGACATCTGGAAATTAAGTTGAAGGTTTTCAGATATCCACAGAAGAAACAATTCCGATTTTAATGGCTAGCAAGACCCTTCGTACATCCATAATTTGAGCCTAAAACTCCAGCACTTCCAAAGTGTTTCCTACAGGATGGTCCCACCATACCTCCTAGAACAGGCTGCATCCTGAAGGCAACTCTACTTTATACTGTACTTTCAACAATGCCATGTATCTGGTGCTTTTAGTCAAGTTATACTGTAAACCACATGGGCAAGCCAAATGCTGCTGGCCTGTCATAGTGTCCTCTTCTTTCCACTCTGAAATGGGAGAGGAGGTTTACAAGACATAATAACAGGATATCTCAATGATGCGTAAATAGTCTGGGGAGAAAATGAGGAAGACAATACCACCTAAGTAATGCATTTTAACGCCATCTGAACCAAAGACTTATTTGAATACAGCAGCTTTAGGAGGTTGCCTGTACTGGCTGCGTGCAAGTTGTGAAAACCAACTGTAATAACTGCACAGTGGGGAATACTTCAGTATGTCTAAATGAACTGGGAGCCCAAAGTGCATTTCAGAAACAGCTTGGAACAAACATGGTGTAGAAGGTGAAGTTGCTTGGTGTTTCTGAAAACCATGTTCAGCTACATTAGACTGCTGGTTTAGTTTTCCTGGGAACAGGAGTGGAAGTGATCGTGGGGAGCTGTACCTGGAGTATCACGGCTCTGCTACTGTTCCAGGGTCTTGATTCTGGGCCTTCAACAAAAGAATTCTTAGTGAAGTCTGAATTATGCAAAAGTCTATTTACTCTGTAATGGTAACTTTTTTCCCAAAGATGTGTTAAAGATCTAAACTACATGCCACGTGTATACTGGAAGCAAGCAAACAGGCAGGACTTTTCACTGTGTTACCTGGGCATCAAATTTTCCAGCGTTGTGAAGGAATGTCATGCAGATCTCATGTAAGCCTCGGATCTCACAGGAATTGTTTTCAAAGCATTCAAACACTCCACATCCCACATCGCCAGCATTAACGAGGCAGTGCTGAATTTCAGCTAAAATGAGCATTGATTACAGTTAATTTGAAGATTTGTTCATAGAAGCTAATGGGGAGTTGGGGGAGAGGGAAAAAGTTATTTTCTTAATATCCTCAGTTCAAAAGAAAAAAAAAAAACCCACATGACAACAGTTACTTTACCCACAGGATGCCCACTTTTGGCAGAAATTAGGCCAAAACTTCAGTATATAATGCTATGAAAGTGATACCCAAGAAGTAAATGCCAAATCCACTATGCTTATGTCAGGCTATTTCACTTCAAAACTCTCTAATGCTTTTGCATTCCTCAGGAGCAAAGGATGCGTTTATCTGACCTGTACAAAGTTCCCCCACCAAATTCAAGTGCCAAAACGAGAAGCCCAGGATCCTAGTAAATAAAAATTCTCATTTCTGGTACTTTGGGCTAATTTCTGGCAATTTAGCTCAATGATTTTTATAGACCACTGGGTTTCCCCTGCTGTGATATCTATGAAGTTACCGGCAAAACTCTCAGGGATAAGTGAAGTCCTTTGTACTGAATGTTCCATAAAGCTGCATGTCCTATGCAGAAATCAATTAAAAAGTATGTATTTATATATACTACATAAACATTCTGGAGCTAGCTGTTACTTACATACGTGTTTATCCTGCCCTTTCAGATGTTATGTAATACTGTTAAAAAAATGCTGTCTAATACTCACCATGAAAACCCCAAAAATCTAATTCTTAACAAGACAGTTTCTCATCTTTAAAAATAAATAAATAAATAAATGGATGTAGTAGTACTGCCAGAGGGAAGGTGGTTGCTGAAAAAGCCTGGGGATAAAGTTAAACAGGGGCAGCTTTTAGACCAGAACTGAGGATGCTAAGAATTCCTGTACTCTGTGCCCTAGTGGTACCTTTAATTAAAGCTCACCCTTGGGAGCCAGCCTAATCCCCCTCCGAACCGCAGCATGTTTCAGACATCCCCAGCCTCCCCCTTCGCCCTGCGGTCCATTTGCAAGTCTTTACAGCAACTTTCAGTCTCATTTCAACCCGCTGCAAGGCAGAGAGAGGAGCCGCGGATGTAAATGCGGAGTCTGAAGGAGTTCCCCGGCTCAAAACGTAATCGCGGCCGCTGCCTTCCGCTCCCCTCGCCCCCGTTCTACCTGGCCCGAATTGCACCTGGGGGTGGGACCCGGGAGCCCCGGGGTCGGCTCCCGGGATTGTCTCAGCCACACGCGAAAAGCTGCGCAAATATACACGCACCGGGGGGGAATCTGTGTGTAGAAAAATGGAGCTCTTTGTGGAGCGCTGCAGAGCGCGGAACTGGGCTTTTTTGGGGCCGGGAGCTCAGCCGTAGTGCTTGTGTTGGCATCCGGATGCAAACGCTTTGCCGGATCACATGTCCTGGCTCCAGCGTGCTGAGAACTGCACAGTGCCGTGATTCACATGTGGCAGTCCCTAATG